TTGGATATTATTAGAACAACTTTACATTCATGATGTTTGGAATAATTTGGTTTCTGAGAATGACATCTGCAATAGTATCGGTTTTATACACTTTGTTTTTTTTGGTCAGATTCTCTGTTCACTTAACTTTACTATATCAGGTAACATAAGTCAATCACATCTAACGAACTGATCTGTAATCTAAAACATGTAAGTCAGAGAGGTAATATAAATACGAGAAAAATAAACCTAAAACAAAGCTCTTGGCGAAACACAAAATATTTAAGCTTCGTAGTCACTGGTTTTCTCTAATTATTTTTTTTAAGATTGTCTCCAGAATAAATAAAAGAAATTAACGTCCCAGTTTTATCTTATTTTGCGTTGAATTTTACATATCAGAGACCAACTATTTTTCAGGAGTAAAATTTATCCTTTGAACAAACCAATAATAAAATCGTATAAGTGACTATCACGCCGCCATCCTACACCGCCACCATCCTGCACCGCCACCGTCCTCACCACCACCGTCTCACCACCACCATCCTACACCACCACCATCCTGCACCACCACCATCCTGCCCACCACCATCCTGCACCACCGTCACTGCACCACCACCGTCCTCACCACCACCATCCTGCACCGCCACCATCCTACCACCATCCTGCACCACCACCATCCTGCACCGCCACCATCACATCACCACCATCCTACACCACCACCATCCTCATCACCACCGTCCTCACACCGCCGCATCCCTACGCCGCCACCATCCTGCACCACCATCCTACACCACCACCATCCTACACCGCCACCATCCTGCCCATCACCACACCACCATCCTGCACCACCACCGTCCTACACCACCACCACCCTGCACCACCATCCTGCACCACCGCATCCTGCACCACCGCCGTCCTCACACCGCCTCCTGCACCCCTCCTGCACCACCACCGCCATCCTGCCACCACCATCCTGCACCACCCCATCCTGCACCGCCGCACATCCTACACCACCACCATCCTGCACCACCACTCCTGCACCACCACCGTCCTGCCACCACCATCCTGCACCACCACCACCACCGCCACCCTGCACCTGCCATCCTGCCCTGCATCCTACACCACCATCCTGCACCACCACCATCCTGCACCACCACCATCCTCCCTACACCACCACCATCCTGCACCACCACCACCACCATCCTGCACCACCACCATCCTGCACCACCGTCCTCTACCACCACCATCCTCACACCACCACCCCTCCTGCACCACCACCATCCTGCACCCCACCATCCTACACCACCACCATCCTACACCATCCTCACCACCACCATCCTACACCACCACCATCCTGCACCACCACCGTCCTACCCACCACCATCCTCACCACCACCATCCTACACCACCACCATCCTGCCCACCCATCTCACCACCACCCTCCTGCCAATCACACCACCACACCTCCACCCTGCACCCACCATCCCCTGCCACCGCATCCCTGCACCGTCCTGCACCGCCACCGTCCTGCACCACCGTCACCGCCATCCTGCACCACCACCATCCTGCACCACCACCCTCCTGCCACCACCATCCTGCACCACCACCACATCCTGCACCACCCACACCATCCTGCACCACCACCGATCCTGCACCACCACCATCCTGCACCACCACCCTCCTGCACCACCACCGTCCTGCACCACCGCCATCCTGCCACCACCCTCCTGCACCACCACTCCTCACCACCACCATCCTGCACCACCCATCACCACCACCTCCTGCACCACCACCCTCCTACACCACCACCCTCCTCACCACCACCATCCTACACCACCACCCATCCTGACACCACCACCATCCTGCACCACCACCATCCTGCACCACCACCATCCTGCACCCTCCTGCACCCACCACTCCTACACCACCACCATCCTGCACCACCCTCCTACACCACCACCATCCTGCACCACCACCATCCTGCACCACCACCATCCTACACCACCACCACCCTCCACACCACCACCATCCTGCACCACCACCTCCTACACCACCACCATCCTGCACCACCACCATCCTGCACCACCACCATCCTGCACCGCCATCTCTCACCACCGTCCTGCACCACCGTCCTGCACCACCACCATCCTGCACCACCACCATCCTGCACCACCACCGTCCCTGCACCCACCGCCTCCTGCCACCACCATCCTGCACCACCGCCCCTCCTGCACCACCATCCTGCACCACCGCATCCTGCCACACCACATCCTCACCACCACCACCACCATCCTGCACCCACCACCATCCTGCACCACCACCCTCCTGCACCTACCCTCCTGCACCACCACCGTCCTGCACCACCACCATCCTGCACCACCACCATCCTGCACCACCACCGTCTCACACCACCACCATCCTACCCACCGCCTCCTGCACCACCACCATCCTGCACCACTCCTGCCACCCTCCTCCCATCCTGCACCATCCTCACCACCATCCTGCACCCTCCTGCACCACCACCCACTCCTACCACCCTCCTGCACTCCTCCACCACCACCACCAATACCACCCTCCCTACACCACCACCCTCCTACACCACCACCATCCTGCACCACCCTCCTGCACCACCACCACCCTCCTACACCACCACCATCCTACCACCACCATCCTGCACCACCACCATCCTGCACCACCACCTCCTGCACCACCACCCTCCTACCTCCTACACCACCACCATCCTACACCACCACCCTCCCACCACCCTCCTACACCCACCACCCTCTACACCACCACCATCCTACACCACCACCATCCTACACCACTACTCTACACCACCACCCTCCCTACACCACCACCCTCCTACCACCACCATCCTACACCACCACACTCCTACCCACCACCCTCCTACCCCACCTCCTACACCACCACCACCCTCCTACACCACCACCATCCTACACCACCACCCTCCCACACCACCACCCTCCCCCACCACCGCCTCCTGCACCACCACCCCTCCTGCACCACCCTCCACCACCACCATCCTACACCACCACCATCCTGCACCACCGCCAATCACCACCACCATCCTGCCACCACCACCCACCTGCACCACCACCATCCTGCCACCACCCTCCTACACCACCCCTCCTGCACAACCCTCCTACCACCACCACCCTCCTACACCACCACCATCCTGCACCACCACCATCCTACACCACCGCCATCACCACCACCCTCCTGCACCACCACCATCCTCACACCACCACCATCCTCACCACATCTACACCACCACCCACCTGCACCATCCTGCACCACCACCATCCCTCCTCACCACCATCCTGCACCACCCTCCTACCACCCTCCTGCACCACCACCCTCCTGCCCACCATCCTCCTCACCACCTCCTACCCACCACCTCCTACACCACCACCCTCCTACACCACCACCATCCTGCACCACCACCATCCTACACCACCACCATCCCCTACACCACTGCACCACCACCATCCTACACCACCACCATCCTGCACACCATCCTACACCACACCACCATCCTGCCACCACCACCCTCCTGCACCACCACCATCCTGCACCACCACCCCTCCTGCACCTCCAATCCTCACCACCACCATCCTGCACCACCACCATCCTACACCACCATCCTACACCACCACCATCCTACACCACCACCATCCTACACCACTAATCACCGCCACCTCCTACACCACCACTCCTGCACCACCACCATCCTGCACCACCACCCATCAGCACCACCACCATCCTACACCACCACCATCTACACCACCACCATCTCACACCACCACCATCCTACACCACCACCAATCCTGCACCACCACCATCCTACACCACCACCATCCTGCACCACCACCATCCTGCACCACCACCATCCTGCACCACCACCATCCTGCACCACCACCTCCTGCACCACCACCATCCTGCACCACCACCATCCTGCACCACCATCCTACACCACCACCATCCTACACCACCACCATCCTACACCACCACCATCACCACCACCCTACACCACCACCATCCTGCACACCACCACTCTGCACCCACCCTCCTGCACCACCACCATCCTGCACCACCACCATCCTACACCACCACCATCCTGCACCACCACCACCATCCTGCACCACCATCAATCACACACCACCACCATCCTACCACCACCATCCTGCACCACACCCACCATCCTGCCACCACCATCCCTGCACCAAATCCTGCACCACCACCCTCCTGCACCCCCCGCCCTCCTGCACCACCACCATCCTGCACCACCACCATCCCTACCACCACCATCCTGCACCACCACCATCCTGCACCACCACCATCCTACACCACCACCATCCTGCACCACCACCATCCTACACCACCACCACCATCTACACCACCACCATCCTACACCACCACCACCATCCTACACACCACCACATCCTACACCCTCACACCACCACCATCATCATACACCACCACCACCATCCTACACCACCACCATCCACACCACCACCATCATCACCACCACTCATCTCCACACCACCAACCATCCACACCACCACCATCATACACACCACCACCATCCCTACACCACCACCATCCACACCACCACCAACATCCTGCCACCACCACCATCCCACACCACCACCATCCTCCACCACCACCATATCCACACCACCACCATCCTACACCACCACCACCATCCCACACCACCACCACCATCCTACACACCATCAACTCCACCACCACCACACACCACATACACACCACATCACACCACCACATCCTACAACCACCACCATCCACCCCACCCTTCCTACACCACCAATACCTCCCTCACCACCACCATCCCACATACCACCATCCATACACCACCACTCTTCCTACACCACCTCACCAACCTACACCCCCACCACTTCATACACCAACCTCCAACACCACTGTCAATCCTACACCACCCATCCTACACCACCATCTCCTACACCACCACCATCCTACACCACTACCTCCAGCTCACCTGCACGATTCCTCCTCCCTACGCGTATGCTCGGCGATAAACCTCACTCCCTCAAAGGCTTTAATAACCTCCGGGCAGTATTGGGTGCTGCCATTCTCCGTGGTGCCTCTGCCAGGTGACCCGACGTTCCCGTTCAGTCCAACACCCAGCTCGTCCGCCAGCACCGCCGGCCCGTGGATCTTACAGCCGCCGTTGATTCCCATTGAGTCCATGTCACGGCTGAGGAGACATGCTCATGTTATAAAGTGATACACCCTGATACACCCTTATACACCCTGATACACCCTGATACACCCTTATACACTCTGATATACCCCTGATACACCCTTATACACTCTGGTGAGAGGTGTGTGGTGAGAGAGGAGGTGTGTGGTGAGAGAGGGGAGGTGTGTGGTGAGGGAGGTGTGTGGTGAGAGAGGGAGGTGTGTGTGGAGAGAGAGGGAGGTGGGTGGGTGAGAGAGGAGGTGTGTGGTGAGAGAGGGAGGTGTGTGGTGAGGGATGGGTGTGGTGGAGAGGGAGGTGTGTGGTGAGAGAGGGAGGTGTGTGGTGAGAGAGGGAGGTGTGGTGGTGAGAGGGAGGTGTGTGGTGAGAGAGGAGGTGTGTGGGAGAGAGGGGAGGTGGTGAGAGAGGGAGGTGTGGGTGAGAGAGGAGGTGTGTAGTGAGAGGGAGGTGTGGTGAGAGAGGGAGGTGTGTGGTGTGAGGGAGGTGTGGTGAGAGAGGGAGGTGTGGTGAGAGTGGGAGGGTGTGTGGGAGAGAGGGAGGTGTGTGTGGTGAGAGAGGGAGGTGTGTGGGTGAGAGAGGAGGTGGTGAGGGGAGGGAGGTGTGTGGTGAGGAGGTGGTGGTGAGGAGGTGTGTGGTGAGAGAGGGAGGTGTGTGGTGAGAGAGGGAGGTGTGGTGAGAGAGGGAGGTGTGTGGTGAGAGAGGGAGGTGTGTGGTGAGAGAGGGAGGTGTGTGGTGAGAGAGGAGGTGTGTGGTGAGAGAGGAGGTGTGTGGTGAGGGAGGGAGGTGTGTGTGGTGAGAGTGGGAGGTGGTGGTGAGAGGGAGGTGTGTGTGGTGAGAGAGGGAGGTGTGTGGGTGAGAGAGGAGGTGTGGTGAGAGGGAGGTGTGGGTGGTGAGAGAGGGAGGTGTGTGGTGAGAGAGGGAGGTGGTGGTGAGAGAGGGAGGTGTGTGGTGAGAGGGAGGTGGTGAGAGTGGGAGGTGTGTGTGGTGAGAGGGGAGGTGTGGTGAGAGAGGGAGGTGGTGAGAGGGAGGTGGTGGTGAGAGAGGGAGGTGTGGTGAGAGAGGGAGGTGTGTGTGGTGAGAGGGAGGTGTGTGTGGTGAGAGAGGGAGGTGTGTGTGAGAGGGGAGGTGTGTGGTGAGAGGGAGGTGTGTGGTGAGAGAGGGAGGTGTGTGGTGAGTGAGGTGTGTGGTGAGAGGGAGGTGTGTGGTGAGAGAGGGAGGTGTGGTGAGAGGGAGGTGTGTGGTGAGAGGGTGTGTGGTGAGAGAGGGAGGTGTGTGGTGAGAGGGGGAGGTGGTGGTGAGAGAGGGAGGTGTGTGGTGAGGGAGGTGTGTGGTGAGAGGAGGTGTGGTGAGAGTGTCATGGGAACGTGCTTATTATTTATATATATATATATCTATGATACCGATTTTGAAGACAAATGTAAAGTACTTAGTGTAGGAAATGTAAACAGAGAAACTAACTATCAGATAAACAACAATGTTAGAGGGAAATTCTGCTGTTAAAAACACTTAGGAATAATGATAAGTAGGAATCTTAAACAATGTGTATTTGCTCGAAACAAGGCTAACAGAACAATTAAGTTGATACAAAGGAGTGTTTGTTACAAGACTAGCGAGATCATCCTAAAACTATATCTTACGCTCGTGAGACCTCCCTTCGATTACGCAGTTCAGTTCTGGTTACCGTACTACAGAATGGATATAGATTCTCCAGAAAGAATTCAGAGGTGAATGACAAGACTAATCCCGGGCATTAGGAATCTTGAGTACAGAGGAGGATTAAAGCATCTTAATTTGCACTCCCTCGAGATATGTAGAGTGAAGGGCGATATGTTCGAGGTGTATAAATGGAAGTCAGGGCTAAATAAAGGTGATATAACAAAGGTAGTTAGACTCTCTAACCAGGAGCAAACTCGTAGCAATATTTTAGATTAGACAAATTTAGATTTAGGCGCGAGATAGGTAAACATTGGTTTGGAAATAGAACAGTGAATGAGTGGAACAAGTTACCAAACATCATCATCAACTGGAATATGCTGGACAGTTTCAAATATAGGTTGGATGGGGTTGGCGATAGGGGTTGGGTGTAAATGGGACTGCCCAGTATAGGTCAATAGGCCTGCTGCATTTCCATTCTTATGGATCCTCTCTATTCAGACTATGAGGTTTTTCCTATGTTATTGCATCATACCACGTGACCCACTGTGCTTAGGACCACATTATGCCCGCTGTGCTGGGTGTGGCAGGGTATTTCATCACACACAGGAAGTCAAGGGGTGTGAAGGCCTCGTACCTGGGTAATGGGTGTGGCGAAGTCAAGGTGTGAAGGCCTCGTACCTGGGTCATGGGTGGCAGGGTATTTCATCAGGGTGTGAGGCCTCGCACCTGGGTCATGGGTGTGGCAGGGTATTTCATCACACACAGGAAGTCAAGGGGTGTGAAGGCCTCGTACCTGGGTAAGTGGTGTGGCCGCTTGTTGCCAGATATTTAATTGCTGTTTCTTTATTTACTTATTGTTATTCCATGTATTTTGGCTCATATTTAATTACCTATTGCACTCCTAAAAATATCTTGACCATCTCCTATTTAAAACCTTGCCCTGTATTATATGTAAATTTGTAAACTAAATAATGTTCATTTGGCATGAGCCAATGGGTGAAGCTTCTGAGCAGCTTATGTCAAATCTAAGAGGCTGTTTTCACTCTTTATCCTTGTTCCACCTCTGGGCTGAGCAGATGTCTGTCTCTGCCTGCCTCCTGTTTCTGAACCACCTTGTGGCTAAAGTTGGCCCTTCCTGTTCTAGGGAAAGTTAGGTAGGAGTCAGTGGTGCTTATGCTTAGCTCCCAATTAGGTAGGAAGTGCATTTATATTATGTCTTGTACCTTTTATTTATAAATATATGTGTAATATTCGGTATTTTGGTGTGACATTGAGAGACAGAAATACCAATATGGCGTTGCAATGAGTCATCCTAGGTTACGTAAGAGAGTGACTGCGGGGCGCCGATTACGTAAGAGGGCGACTGAGCGGAGGTGGCTCTTGCCCATACGGAGTGAGAGTTTTTGGACGATCTTAAATGTGATTTACCAAATCGTTAGGGACGCGAATCATGAAATAAAATGACAATTATTAAATTAAAATTTATTATTGATCGTTTCTCAGTCTAAATACGTTACGCGCCTGCTTAATAGTAGTGCGGAAAATAAGTCACTCGGGCAAGGCGAACGCCTTGAAGGAACGCGCCCCAGGGCCCAGTCGCGTGGCAGCGGTCAAGCAGACAGGACGCCTGCGTGGCAGGCCAGGAGAAACGGTCGGGTCTGGTCTCTTTGTTACGACATCAGTATTAACAAGTGAGTTTCATACGATCTAGGACAGGGTTTAGATAGGGTGGAGGAGAAGTTAACAATAGCTAACAGAGGGTTTTTTGCAGAGACTCTGTAGAGCCCACTAGGTCGAAGTTGAGCCCGTCCTGAAAGGTCGAAGTTGAGCCCATCCTGAACGGTCTGAGCCCGGTTTGAGGGGTCTTGAGCCCACGCGGTTGAGTGAGCAGTTTGAGGGTTGGAGAGGAGCCAGCTGTCTGTGTTGACAACTAACTACGTGTGACCAGCGTTTGGCTCCGTTTGACGATCGTTTAGGGGTCATCAGATCTCTTCCACCTCAGTTCACAATACCACATATCTTCAGGCAGTTTAATGGAAACCTCTTACTAACGGAAAAATAGAACCCCCCTCAGCTGGACAGGTTTCAGTGGCTGACTGGCCCCCACTCCTTTCCGTTTCATGGATGTACTGAGTATAAACTGAGGCTATCTGAGTGAATGAACGGTCGCACACTGAAACCAGGAGTCTAGTGGGTATTCCCAGTAGGGTGTGTTCTTGAGCTTGTGTGGCTACGTGGTAAGCTGTTTAGAATTTCCCAAGTCCAGGTGTGAGAACAACGCTCATGGTTGATTTTCACACGAGACGAAAGAAATATATCCAAAGTTGTGAAGGGTTTGTTAGTGCCTTAAGAATAATACTGGCATGCGGAACCTATGTGGAGGTTAGGAGCATGTTTCACGGTATTGTGGAGAAACATTCATGACTCCTGAGTTCTAGGAAAAATACTGACAAAAGTAAAACCAGGAACACCTGATGGGTCATGAGTGATTTTCTGGCCTTATAAACCACCGGCCGCGCGTAGTTATACCTGGTTATTTGGCCAGTTGGGATTGTAGTAGTTGTGGGTTATTCCAGACAGGCGATGATTGATCCATGTGTGTAGCTAATAATTTCTTCCTGTTTCATGCTATTTCCCCAGTACTTGATAGTACATATAGTTATGTTCAAATGATTATGTGTCACTAAGGTATGTGAGATAACGAGGAACTGTTTTCAGATGAGCTCCTCATTCTGGTGTAAGTAGCACGGTTACCTTAATAGTGTTGCATAAGGCATTTAATATTTTCTACCTAATTTTGATATCTAGTATAACCTTTGTTCCCCAGTGTAGTGTTTTAAAGCCAAGCTAAGAGGTGCGCATATGTTGGTGTACCATTATTGTTTGTGGCTGTATTGTTGGAGGGAATAGAAGTGTCAAACTTTCAGTGCGTCTCATTCACCCCAATCACAGGTGCTATCTTTCCACGGGTCACGGAGAATACATGTTTTTTTTAAAGTAATTGTGTTTGTGCTGGTTCGGTTTTCTCCAAGGGCTCCACTGCATTACCACCCACTAATAATAAATAGAACCCCAAGGATAGTAGAGAATATCCCCTACCGGTTACATATGTAAATGAGGTAAATTTACCCAGGTGTTTCTGTTGGTCCTTTTTGCCCAGGATTTTATTCACAATGACTGAGTATTTGGGAATATCTAAAGTGTATTTCATAAAGTTTACCCTTAATTAGCCAGCTTAAGCGAAACAAGATGAAGGAGACTGCAGTGGGCCTAATATGACATTATGCGACCCTATTTACACTCAACTCTATCGCCTATATTCTCAACTTATATTTGAAGCTATCCAGCGTGTTCAAGTTAATGATGAAGTTCGGTAACGTGTTCCACTATATTGTACTACACCATTTCCAAACCAGTTTTACCTATCTCGGGCCTAAATCTAAATTGTTCAATTTAAAACCATTGCTACGAGTTAGCTCCTGGATGGTTGAGTACCTTTTTTATATCACCTTTGTTTAACCATGACTTCAGTTTATACACCTCTATCATATCGCCCTCACTCTATATTTCTAAAGGGAGTGCAAGTTAAGATGCTTTAATTTGTCTTCATACTCAAGGTTCCTAATGCCCGGGATTAGTCTTGTCATTCTCCTCTGAATGCTTTCTAGGGATTCTACATCCATTCTGCAGTTCCGTGACCAGAACTGAACCGCATAATCCAAGTGAGGTCTCACAAGCACTAGATACAGTTTTAGGATGACCTCGCTAGTCTTGTAACTAACACTCCTTTGTATGAACCCAAGTACTTTGTTATCCTTGTTTCGAGCAAATATACATTGTTGTTTTGGCTTAAGATTCCTACCTACCATTACTTCTAAGTCTTTCTCACAGTCGGATTTCATAACATCGTTGTTCATCTGGTATCTGGTTTCTCGTTTACACTTCCTATACTGAGTACTACATTTGTCATTACTAATTCATTCATTTTCCTGACAATTGTCCAGTTTTGTGGCCTTTGGTAAGCTTGACAAGACACTGAGGCTGGGATTAGGGGTGTGTAAGGGGCTGTGTGGAGAGGGGTGTGAGGAGGGGCGTGTGGAAGGGGTGTGGTGAGGGGTGTGTGGTGAGGTGTGTGGGGAGGGGGTGTGTGGTGAGGGGGTGTGTGGTGAGGGGTGTGGGTGTATGGGGGTGTGGTGAGGGGTGTGTGGTGAGGTGTGTGGTGAGGGGTGTGTGGTGAGGGGTGTAGTGAGGGGCTGTGTGGTGAGGTGTGGTGAGGGGGTGTGTGGTGTGGTGAGGTGTGGTGAGGATGTGTGGTGAGGGGTGTGTGGTGAGGGGTGTGGTGAGGGGTGTGGTGAGGGGGCGTGTGTAGTGAGGGGTGTGGTGAGGGGTGTGTGGTGAGTGTGTGGTGAGGGTGTGTGTGAGGGGTGTGGGTGGTGGAGGAGGGGTGTGGTGAGGGGGTGGTGATGTGGTGAGGGTGTGTAGAGGAGTGTGTGGTGAGGGGTGTGTGGTGAGGGGTGTGGTGAGGTGGTGAGGGTGTGGTGAGGGGTGTGTAGAGGGGTGTGTAGAGGGGGTGTGTGGTGAGGGGTGTTTGAGGTGTGGTGAGGAGTGGTGAGGGTGTGGTGAGGGGGTGGGAGAGGAGATGTTTGGTGAGGGATATGGGTGGTGATGAGATGCAGGTAAGAGAAATTAGTGAGGGGACCGACCGGTGAGATGTGTGACAAAGAATATGCATGGTGAAGTAGATGATATGAGGAGGGGTGCGTGATGTGGAAGATGAGTAGTGAGGGAGGCGTGATGTGAAGATGAGTAGTGAGGAGATACGTGATGTGGAAGCTGAGAAGAGGAGATGATGAGAGGGAGATGCGTGATGTGGAAGATGAGTGAGATGTGATGCGTGATGGAAGATGAGTAGTGAGGAGACGAGGTGAGGGAGATGCGTGATGTGGAAGATGAGCATGAGTGGAGCGAGGAGATGCATGAGGAAGATGAGTAGGAGGGAGATGAGAGCTGAGGGAGATGCGGATGGAAGATGAGAGGAGGAGATGAGCGATGAGGATGCGTGATGGAAGATGAGAAATGAGGAGATGGCTGATGAAGATGAGAGAGGGAGATGCGTGATGGAAGATGAGTGAAGGGAGGGATGCGAGGTGAGGGATGCGATGAGGAAGATGAGTAGAGAGGGAGATGAGGAGGAGAGATGCGTGTGATGAGGAAGATGAGTAGTGAGAGATGAGAGGTGAGGGAGATGCGTGATGGAAGATGAGTAGGAGGAGATGAGAGGAGGGAGATGCGTGATGTGGAAGATGAGTAGTGAGGAGATGAGAGGTAAGGGAGATGTGATGAGGAAAGAGTGAGGAGAGAGAGGTGAGGATGCGTGATGAGCAGTGAGGAGATGAGAGTGAGGAGATGCGTGATGAGGAAGAGAGCAGTGAGTGGAGAGAGAGGTGAGGAGATGCGATGTGGAAGATAATAGTGAGGAGATGAGAGTGAGGGAGATGCGGATGCGGAAGATGAGAAAGGAGGGATGCGATGTGGAAGATGAGAGTGAGGAGATGGAAGATGAGTAGTGATGGAGATGCGAGGTGAGGGAGATGTGATGAGGAAGATGAGTAGTGAGGAGATGAGAGGTAGAGGGATGAGGAAAGTGAGGGTGAGGGATGAGGTGAGGGAGATGCGTGATGGAAGATGAGTAGTGAGGAGATGAGAGGTGAGGGAGATGCGTGATGGGGAAGATGAGAAATGAGGAGATGAGAGGTGAGGGAGATGCGTGATGTGGAAGATGAGTAGTGAGGGAGATGAGGAGGGATGCGATGTGAAGATGAGTAGTGAGGAGATGATGAGTGGAGATGCGATGAGAGGAAGAGGAGAGTGGGGGAGAGGAGATGCGTGAAAGATGAAAGTGTAGTGAGGGAGACGAGGTGAGGAGATGCGTGATGGAAGATGAGTAGTGAGGAGATGAGGTGAGGGAGATGCGTGATGAGGAAGATGATAGGGAGGGATGAGGAGTGGGAAGAGAGAAAGAGGGATGAGAGAGGGAGATGCGTGATGGAAGATGAGTAGTGAGGGAGATGAGAGGGGCGATATGAAAAGGAGAGAGGGAGATGAGAGGCGAGGGGATGATGGAAGATGAGTAGTGAGGGAGATGAGAGGTGAGGGAGATGGATGAGGAAAGTGAGAAAGGAGGGAGATGAGAGAGGGAGATGCGTGATGTAGATGAGTATGAGGAGATGAGGTGAGGGAGATGCGAATATAAGATGTGAGGAGATGAGAGGTGAGGGATGAGGTGAGGGAGATGTGATGAGGAAAGGGGGTGAGGAGAGAATGATCCAGGGAGCACCACTGTGTGGTGAGCGAGGTCGACTGCCAGGTATACCCATATACATAAGTCCTTCTTGAATGGCATCTCTTAATTCCTGCTGACTTCTGGAACAAGGGTCAGGTATTAATTCCCCACACACACACACATGGGATAACTAGCCACTGACAAGACCACAGATAAGCAGGTGTACAATTCCTTCAATAGTAAGACCACAGCTGGCTTTTATAATCCTCATACTGATGGCGAAGAAAAACAACAGGAAAACACGTTAATTTCTCCTTTCTTGGATAGTGACAACGCCAGTGAATACAAACACCAGTGAGATAACCTTGTGAGATTGAGGACCCATTGAGTGACTTACGAAGACGAGTCAAATAAGAACATATAAAGGTTACCTCTCGCGTTTATTTCACCTGATTATTAAGCACCATTACGCTACCTGGAGGGTTAGGTTAGGATAGTTACATATGAGGTGTAGTGATGAAACAAGAGGTGTAGTGGTGAAACAAGAGATGTAGTGGTGAAACAAGAAGTGTAGTGGTGAAACAAGAGATGTAGTGGTGAAACAAGAGATGTAGTGGTGAAACAAGAAGTGTAGTGGTGAAACAAGAGATGTAGTGGTGACACAAGAGGTGTAGTGGTGAAACAAGAGATGTAGGGGTGAAACAAGTGTAGTGGTGAAACAAGAGGTGTAGTGGTGAAACAAGAGGTGTAGTGGTGAAACAAGAGGTGTAGTGGTGAAACAAGAGGTAGTGGTGAAACAAGAAGGTGTAGTGGTGAAACAAGAGATGTGTTGAAACAAGAGGTGTAGTGGTGAAACAAGAGATGTAGGGGTGAAACAAGTGTAGTGGGTGGAAACAAAAGGTGTAGTGGTGAAACAAGAGGTGTAGTGGTGAACAAGAGGTGTAGTGGTGAAACAAGAGGTGTAGTGGGTGAAACAAGAGGTGTAGTGGTGAAACAAGAGGTGTAGGGTGAAACAAGAGGTGTAGTGGGTGAAACAAGAGGTGTAGTGGTGAAACAAGAAGTGTAGGGTGAATCAAGAGGTGTAGTGGTGAAACAAGAAGTGTAGTGGTGAAAGTGCGAGGGGTGAAACAAGAGGTGTAGGTGAAACAAGAAGTGTAGTGGTGAATCAAGAGGTGTAGTGGTGAAACAAGAAGTGTAGTGGTGAAACAAGAGGTGTAGTGGTGAAACAAGAAGTGTAGTGGTGAAACAAGAAGTGTAGTGGAATCAAGAGGTGTAGTGGTGAAACAAGAAGTGTAGTGGTGAAACAAGAGGTGTAGTGGTGAAACAAGAAATGTAGTGGTGAAACAAGAGGTGTAGTGGTGAAACAAGAGATGTAGTGGTGAAACAAGAAGTGTAGGTGAAACAAGAGGTGTAGGTGAAATAAGAAGTGTAGTGGTGAAAAACAAGAGGTGTAGGGTGGAAAGAAGTGTAGTGGTGAATCAAGAGGTGTAGTGGTGAAACAAGAAGTGTAGTGGTGAAACAAGAGGTGTAGTGGTGAAACAAGAAGTGTAGTGGTGAATCAAGAGGTGTAGTGGTGAACAGGTGTAGTGGTGAAACAAGAGTGTAGTGGTGAAACAAGTGGTGGTGAAACAAGAGGTGTAGTGGTGAAACAAAGTGTAGTGGTGAAACAAGAAGTGTAGGTGAGAAACAAGTGTAGTGGTGGAACAAGAGGTGTAGGGTGAAACAAGAGGTGTAGTGGTGAAACAAGAGGTGAGGGTGAAACAAGAGTGTAGTGGTGAATCAAGAGGTGTAGTGGTGAAACAAGAAGTGAGGTGGAATAAGAGGTGTGGTAAATCAAGAGGTGTAGTGGTGAAAACAAGAGGTGTAGTGGTGAAACAAGAGATGTAGGTGGTGAAACAAGTGTAGTGGTGAAACAAGAGGTGTAGTGGTAGAAACAAGAGATGTAGTGGTGAAACAAGAGGTGTAGTGGTGAAACAAGAGGTGTAGTGGTGAAACAAGAGGTGTGAGTGGTGAAACAAGAAGTGTAGTGGTGAATCAAGAGGTGTAGGTGGAAACAAGAGGTGTAGTGGTGAAACAAGAGGTAGTGGTGAAACAAGAGGTGTAGTGGTGAAACAAGAGGTGTAGGGTGAAACAAGAAGTGTAGTGGTGAAACAAGAGATGTAGTGGTGAAACAAGAGGTGTAGTGGTGAAACAAGAGATGTGGGGTGAAACAAGTGTATGGTAAAACAAGAGGTGTAGTGGTGAAACAAGAGGTGTAGTGGGTGAAAACAAGAGGTGTAGGGTGAAACAAGAGGTGAGTGGTGAAACAAGAGGTGTAGTGGTGAAACAAGAGGTGTAGGTGAAACAAGAGGTGTAGTGGTGAAACAAGAGGTGTAGTGGTGAAACAAGAAGTGTAGTGGTGAATCAAGAGGTGTAGTGGTGAAACAAGAAGTGTAGTGGTGAAAAAAGAAGTGTAGTGGTGAAACAAGAGGTAGGTGAAACAAGAAGTGTAGTAGAATCAAGAGGTGTAGTGGTGAAACAAGAAGTGCAGTGGTGAAACAAGAGGTGTAGTGGTGAAACAAGAAGTGTAGTGGTGAAACAAGAGGTAGTGGTGAATCAAGAGGTGTAGTGGTGAAACAAGAAGTGTAGTGGTGAAATAAGTGTGTGAAACAAGAACTGTAGTGGTGAAACAAGAGGTGTAGTAGGTGAAACAAGAGATGTAGGGAGAAACAAGAAGGTAGTGTGAAACAAGAGGTGTAGGAACAAGAAGTGTAGTGGTGAAACAAGAGGTAGTGGTGAAACAAGAAGTGTAGGGTGAATCAAGAGGTGTAGTGGTGAAACAAGAAGTGTAGTGGTGAAACAAGAGGTGTAGGGTGAAACAAGAAGTGTGGTGGTGAATCAAGAGGTAGTGGTGAAACAAGAGGTGTAGTGGTGAAAACAAAGAAGTAGAGAGAAACAAGTAGGTAAGTCACGAGGTGTAGTGGTGAACAAGAAGTGTAGTGTGAAACAAGAAGTGTAGTGATGAAACAAGTGTAGTGGTGGAAAACAAGAGGTGTAGGGTGAAACAAGAGGTGTAGTGTGAAACAAGAGGTGTAGTGGGTGAAACAAGAGGTAGTGTGAAACAAGAAGTGTAGTGGGTGAATCAAGAGGTGTAGTGGGTGAAACAAGAAGTGTAGTGGTGAATCAAGAAGAGGTGTAGGGTAAATCAAGAGGTGTAGTGAAACAAGAGGTGTAGTGTGAAACAAGAGATGTGGTGGTGAAACAAGTGTAGTGGTGAAACAAGAGGTAGTGGGTGGAAACAAGAGATGTAGTGGTGAAACAAGAGGTGTAGTGGTGAAACAAGAGGTAGGGTGAAACAAGAGGTGTAGTGGGTGAAACAAGAGATGTAGTGGTGAAACAAGTGTAGGTGAAACAAGAAGTGTAGTGGTGAAACAAGAGATGAAGGAACAAGTGTGTGAAACAAGAGGTGTAGTGGTGAAACAAGGGTGTAGGGGTGAAACAAGTGTAGTGGGTGAAACAAGAGATGTAGTGTGAAACAATAGGTGTGGGTGAAACAAGAGGTGTAGTGGTGGAAACAAGAGGTGTAGGGTGAAACAAGAGGTGTAGTGGTGAATCAAGAGGTAGGTGAAACAAGAGGTGTAGTGGTGAAACAAGTGTAGTGGTGAAACAAGAGATGTAGTGGTGAAAACAAGTGTAGTGGTGAAACAAGAGGTGTAGTGGTGAAACAAGAGGAGTAGTGGTGAAACAAGAGATGTAGTGGTGAAACAAGAGGTGTAGTGGTGAAACAAGAGGTGTAGTGGTGAAACAAGGTTAGGTGGAAACAAGAGATGTAGTGAAACAAGTGTAGTGGTGAAACAAGAGATGTAGTGGGTGAAACAAGAGTAGTGGTGAAACAAGAGGTGTAGTGTGGTGAAACAAGAGGTGTAGTGGGAACAAGAGGTGTAGTGGTGAATCAAGAGGTAGTGTGAAACAAGTGTAGTGGTGGGAAACAAGTGTAGGGAAACAAGAGGTGTAGTGGTGAATCAAGAGATGTAGTGGTGAAACAAGTGTAGTGGTGAAACAAGAGGTGTAGTGGTGAACAAGAGATGTAGTGGTGAATCAAGAGGTGTAGTGGTGAAAGTTTAGTGGTGAACAAGTGGTGGTGAAACAAGAGGTGAGTGGTGAAACAAGTGTAGTGGTGAAACAAGAGGTGTAGTGGTGAAACAAGTGTAGTGGTTCAACAAGAGGTGTAGTGGTGAAACAAGTGTAGTGGTCAACAAGAGGTAGTGGTGAAACAAGAGGTGTAGTGGTTAAACAAGTGTAGTGAAAAAAGAGGTGTAGTGGTGAAACAAGTGTAGTGGTGAAACAAGAGGTGTAGTGGTGAAACAAGTTTGGTGGTTCAACAAGAGGTGTAGTGGTGAAACAAGTGTAGTGGTGAAACAAGAGGTGTAGTGGTGAAACAAGTGTAGTGGTGAAATAATCTCTTTAAATATAATAATTCCCTTAAATAATCCTCGGCATTACTCCATTTTCCAGACTTGATAAAGGATCGACATACCTGAAAGAATTGTCTCTGGAGTCCTGGAAAGATTCGGTGGAGGTTACAGGACTCCCTGCATGTCACCACAGCCACAAGACAGAAAATACCAGCCTTAGTCTTGGCGAAAAGGCTGTGGGCGGAGGAGGAGGAGAATTAGATGAGCGCCAGGTTGGGAGAAGCTGAAAAACTATTGGAACGCTTCTTCTCTCATCTACAACAAAATGAAGAGATAGTAATCTTTTTTTTTTACATCATGAGACGGGGAAAATGTATAAACAACGGAACACATAAATAAACACTATATTATTTTTAATAAGGAAATTTTGTTTTATTTGTTATTGTTTATTCATAAAAATCAGATTAAATTATATATATATATATATATATATATATATATATATATATATATATATATATATATATATATATATATATATATATATATATATATATATATACAGTATATATAAATTATCTGTGTGCAGTATTATCTCTTATTAATGTACACAAATCTGACTACATTTTTTGACATGAGAGTAGTTGGTATTTTATTTCTTGCTAATGCATTAAAGAAAAAAAATTCAACGCTTGGTTATAAGTCTCGTCTACCACAGAAACTGTATCATCACACCTCGACTATCACATGAAGAAAACAAATAAATAATAAAGAATACAGGTTTATTTACTATCAATACAATATTTAGAATAAAAAGAAAGTGATCAGCTTTTTAACTCTGAGATAATTTAGAGGGGGAATGTTGTAGCGAAACGGAAACACAAGAAATCGATTTAGAATGTGAGAATTTTTAAATGATGTTATGGAGCTTACATACAGCAAAACCTCCATTTAACGGACAATATGGAGAGGAAGTTCGATAGATTGAGGATCAGCTTGAAGTGGAACTTCCCTTTAACGGACTATATAAAAGGGATGTCCGTTATATGGAAGTTCACTTTAAAGAGAGAGAGTGAAGGAGTGAAAATTACAAGGCAATTAGGACAGTTTATTCTACTCGCTCACAGGATGCAGATTCAACAGGTTTTCCTCAAGAGTTCAGATCACAGGTCACCCTAGAGTCTAGGTTACAGGTCAAGCTTAGGAGATTATGGTCAGAGGTCATCCTGGAAACTCCAACAAGTCACACTCAAGAGCGCATATCACAGGTCACCCTGGAGAGACAAGGTACAATTGGGGACAAATAGACTTGCTACACGCCCAGTGACTGGCTGGTGGTAACTGGCAACTTTAGCGTAATAAGGTGTGACATTTATGAATGAACTCGACCTTTTGTAACATTGATTGTGATTATTAGCACATGTATGCCCGTATATATGTCGGTAAATACCATTTATGATGAATTAAACCTTAAAAAAAGATCCTTCATATATCTCTTTACTAGAGACGCCTCACAAACTTTATTCTTCAAAGTGTGATTGAAATTAATATTAAACAAGAATCACAGACCAGATGCCAGGCTCACCACATGTTACTTAAGCCACAAGTTTGAGAAACCAAGCAAGTGTAAATTATTATTATTATTTTTTCAATCTAAGTCAAAGGTGCTCGACGAACGAGCGTTGGTTTTTTATATTTTTATGTAACTTAGAAATTCAGGGAATATTAAATGTGGACCATCACCTGCACTGTCACTACATAAAACGCATTGCTCATACATTTGGTTCATGACCAAAGACACTGTCATTAATATGTTCTATGTTATCATGTAGTGTGGTGTCGTAAATCAAATCTTGCATTTTCAGACATAATGGAAACAATTTGCTTATGACAATAACACGATACAATATACATATAATGACCCGTTACAGTTGGAACAAGGAATAGTCAATGGGAAATAGTAAGAATTATGTGTATATCATGTTTAATAAAATCAAATTATGTAAGCATAGCGGACTTTTTTCTTCATGATTAGATATCATTGACATTACACAAATTGTATATATTGTGCATTAAATAACAGAAATGGTAATATAGTGGCCGCGATTTCTCGAGTAACACACATGGTTAATACCCAGGTTTTGTCGGTAAAGATGTCAAGCGTTTTGTTCTGAAGTACCAGCCAAGCCGTCATGATCACCACTTATTTTGAGTCTTCAGGCCCTAAGACATACAGTAGAATTACCAGGCAGGTTACTGAACTTGTTTTAACCACTGAAGGAAGGTGCCGGTTTGACGGTCTATTTCTCGACTAGATTATCTCTATCTGCCAGGTCTGACTTAACGGGTAGACAGGTCACCATACTCCTGTGTTTATGTCGCCATACGCCTGTGTTTATGTCGCCATACGCCTGGGGTTAAGGTGCCATACTCCTGGGGTTAAGGTGCCATACTCCTGGGGTTAAGTCACCATACGCCTGGGGTTAAGTCACCACACTCCTGGGGTTAAGGTGCCATACTCCTGGGGTTACGTCACCACACTCCTAGGGTTAAGGTACTATACTCCTGGGGTTAAGGTTATACTCCTGGGGTTACGTCACCACACCCTAGGTTAAGGTACTATACCCTGGGGTTAAGGTGCCATACTCCTGGGGTTAAGCACCACCTCCGGGGTGTGCCATACTCCTGGGGTTAGGTGCCATACTCCTGGGTAAGTCACCACACCCTGGGGTTAAGGTGCCATACTCCTGGGGTTAGGTGCCATATCCTGAGGTTACGCCCACACACCAGGGTTAAGGTACTATACCCTGGGGTTAGGTGCCATACTCCTGAGGTTACGTCACCACACCCTAGGGTTAAGGTGCCACTCCTAATGGCACCACTCCTGTGGTTAAGGTGCCACTTGGGGTTAAGATGCCATACCCTGGAGGTTAAGGTGCCATACTCCTGAGGTTACGTCACCACACCCTAGGGTTAAGGTACTATACCCTGGGGTTAAGGTGCCATACTCCTGAGGTTACGTCACCACACTCCTAGGGTTAAGGTGCCATACCCTGGGGTTAAGGTACCATACCCTGTGGTTAAGGTGCCATACTCCTGGGGGTTAGCATGCCATACTCCTGGGTTAAGGTGCCATACTCCTGAGGTACGTCACCACACTCCTAGGGTTAAGGTGCCATACTCCCTGGGGTTAAGGTGCCATACTCCTGGGGTTAAGGTGCCATACTTCTGGGGTTAGGTACAATACTCCTGGGGTTGGTGCCATACTCCTGGGGTTAAGGTACCATACCCTGTGGTTAAGGTACCATACTCCTGTGGAGGTGCCATACCCTGGGGTTAAGATGCCACACTTGGGGTTATGCCATACTCCTGGGGTTAAGGTGCCATACCCTGGGGTTAAGGTGCCATACTCCTGGGGTTAAACCATACTCCTGTGGTTAAGGTACCATACTCCTGTGGTTAAGGTGCCATACTCCTGGGGTTAAGGTACCATACTCCTGGGGTTAAGGTACCATACTCCTGGGGTTAAGGGTACCATACCCTGTGGTTAAGGTGCCATACTTCCTGGGGTTGTGCCATACTCCTGGGGTTGATGCCATACCCTGGGGTTAAGGTGCCATACCTGGTTAGTGCCATACCCTGGGGTTAAGGTACCATACTCCTGCTAAGGGTACCATACTCCAGGGGTTAGGTGCCATACTCCTGGGGTTAAGGTACCATACCCTGGGGTTAGGTACCATACTCCTGTGGTAAGGTGCCATACCCTGGGGTTAAGGTGCCATACTCCTGGGGTTAAGATGCCATACTCCTAAGGTGCCATACTCCTGGGTTAAGGTACCATACTCCAGTTAAGGTGCCATACTCCTGGGGTTAAGATACACTCCTGGGGTTAAGGTGCCATACTCCTGGGGTTAAGGTGCCACTCCTGGGTTATACCCATACTCTGGGGGATACCCACTCCAGGGGTTATGCCATACTCCTGGGTTAAGGTACCATACTCCGGGGTTAAGGCACCATACCTGTATAGGTGCCACACTGGGGTTAAGGTGCCATACCCTGGGGTTAAGATGCCATACTCCTGGGGTTAAGGTGCCATACTCCTGTAATGTACCATACTCCTGTGGTTAGGTGCCATACTCCTGGGGGTTAGATGCCATACTCCTGGGTTAAGCATATCTGAGGTTACGTCACCACACCCTAGGGTTAAGGTGCCATACCCTGGGGTTAAGGTGCCATACCCTGGGGTTACATAAGACTCCTGCTATAAAGTACACTCCCTGTGGTTAAGGTGCCATACTCCTGGGGTTAAGGTGCCATACTCCTGGGGTTAAGATGCCATACTCCTGGGTAAGGTGCCATACTCTGGGGTTAAGGTACCATACTCCAGGTTAAGGTGCCATACTTGGGGTTAAGTCACCACACCCTGGGGTTAAAGACACTCCTTGGGGTTACGTCACCCACCCTAGGGTTAAGGCACTATACTCCTGGGTTATAAAGTGCACTCCTGGGTTACGTCACCACACCCTAGGGTTAAGGTACTATAACTCCTGGGGTTAAGGTGCCATACTCCTGGGGTTGTCACCACACCCTGGGGTTAAGCCATACTCCGGTAAAACATACTCCTGAGGTTAAGTCACCACACCCCAAGCAGCCATACCCTGGGGTTATGCCATACCCCAGGGTTAAGTGCCATACTCCTGAGGTTACGTCAGCCACACCCTAGGGTTAAGGTACTATACTCCCGGGGTTAAGGTGCCATACTCCTGAGGTTACGTCACCACACTCCTAGGGTAAGGTGCCATACCCTGGGGTTAAGGTACCATACTCCTGTGGTTAAGGTGCCATACTCCCTGGGGTTAAGATGCCATACTCCTGAGGTTATGCCATACTCCTGAGGTTACGCCACCACACCCTAGGTAAGCCATACCCTGTGGTTAAGGTGCCATACTCCTGGGGTTAAGATGCCATACCCTGGGGTTAAGGTGCCACTCCTGAGGTTACGTCACCACACCCTAGGTTAAGGTGCCATACTCCTGGGGTTAAGATGCCATACTCCTGGGGTTAAGGCACTATACTCCTGGGGTTAAGGTGCCATACCTTGAGGCGTCACCACACCCTAGGGTTAGCGTGCCACACTCCTGGGGTTAAGTACCATACTCCTGTGGTTAAGGTGCCATACTCCTGGGGTTAAGATGCCATACCCTGGGTTATAAAAGCATACTCCTGAGGTTACG